CATTTATAATTTTGCTTTTCTATTTTTCAAGTGAGCATATTATCATAAATTTAAGTTCTGTATTAAAAAGCTGACACTACAGTTCTCTCTCTTTACATTTTTTTTTATCTAATAACCCCAATACTCTAGCATTTTATTACTCCCTCCGTTCCTTATTATAAGAAACAAATAACCGAAGTACGTTGATTAAAAAAACAGTTAAATTAGTTAAGACAATTAATGTGTAAAAAGTATAATTTTTTTTCAAAAATGCCCTCATTAATAAGGAAAGAGAGCATGAGAGAGAACAATTAAATTATTAAAAGAAAGAGAAGTGGGAGGGAGAGAGTGTGAGTTGGAGATAATAAATATGGGTAAAATAATAAATCAACACAAAAAAGTAGAGACAACTTGTAAGTGTCTCTTATATATAGAAACATGCCATAAGCATCAAATGTCTCTTATAATAAGGAACGGAGGGAGTACTAAATATGACCGGTGTGACAAGCTTAGGAAATGCATTGACTCTTTGATTAGTCTGTTTCATTGTCTTATTTTTCAAAAATACCACGGCTATGTTTTTGTATGATTAAACTTTATTTTTTTTTCCCTCATTAATTAAAGCCTATATTGTAATACAAGAAGTGCCATTGCAGTGCATGATTGCCAATTGGTGGATGATATTCCGGTTGAAAAGCTGTTAATCCATGATGTACCTGTGGATATCATATGCACTCCAACACAGGTTATTTTCACCAACACATCAATTCCGAAACCTCAAGGTTGGTGTGATTATGCACTTTTTGTTTTTTCATTAGTATCAAACTATGGGTTTTTTTTTAGTGACAATTCAATTGACGTGAGGAACGAGCCTTTTGCTTGTAGATCACCGAGATACCTTCTGAGGAAAGTGCAGCGCTGATACTTATGAACTGGCACGCCTGACTTTTTCCCTTATATCATTCAATTTTCCAACTCCGTATTCTGAATTACTTTTGGACTTGCATGGACCGTTAAGCCTATCTATGATGAAGTCCATGTTGTTATCTTCTTTTGCTTTTGGATGTGAAACACAAGGTTAAGATCATCTGGAAGAATACTGGAGAATGAAATCTTGAATGTACAATATCAATGAGAGAAGAATTTTATTTTGAACAGAGACACCAATTACATAAATCTCTTCTCTATTTTCAAAACATATATAAACTTACTCTAAATAAATTGCCAACCTTCCTTGAAAATGGAGAGCAAAGTCCTCGAGCTGTCTGTCCAAACACACGCACACAAGCCTTCACTGACTTTTGCTCAAGAGAATTCTACCTAGTCGCCATCAGTTTTGAAAATAGTTAAATATCTATGTTATTTCAACAAAATTTAATGATGGCATGTATAATGTGTTGTAAGTATTATTGTATTGCAATCTTTCATTTCCGTTTCTTTAATTTTATATTACAGCAAGTATGAACTATTTCCAACTGTGAACAGTGTAACCCCCCCCCCCCTCCACTCTGATGTCAGTTTAGGGATATTGTTAAAAGACCAACTAAAATATTTGGCTACAGGGATTTATTGGGACAAATTATCTCCTGAAAAGCTTGGACAAATTCGAATACTTAGAGAGCTCAAGAGGAGGATCGAGCGACAGACTAATCAGAAACTTCCTACTGGTCCCTCAGAGAAGTTGCCTCCCACGGCTCAACGAAGGCGGTAACACTGCATATGTGAGTTATTCTTATTGGTGGATTGATGTAAATATATGTTCAGTTAGTCAAATTTAAAATATCTCCTCTTGTATGTGAGCTATTGATGTTTGAGCTACAATATTTTGGAATTCTAATCCACAGGGAAAAAGAATTGCAAATCATACAAATGTTTGCAGTATACAATATTTAAGAGTCAAAATATTGTTTCATTGGAATTTATCTTTGTTCTTTTTGGTTAAATGTTTCGTTGGAATTTCTATTACATAGATCCGGCTCGACTAGCTTAATTCATCAACTTCTTTTTTGGCTAACTCTATTTCGACTAACTTTTGTGCATTACCATTGTAACTGATTAATTTGCGTCTTCTTTTTATAACAAACTGAATGGTCTTGGTTTCTTTAGTATCAATGACCGAGAAATCCTGGACCACAAAATTGTCACGTCTTTCCCTTTAGATAAAAACATGGCTTCCTTATTTTTCTGTCTTGAACATCAATTTTGGCGAACCATGTTAGGCGTAGAAGCCATGCGTGTATGTGTAAAAAAGGCGTATAAATGGGCATTGGCCAACCACACTCTGTCTCCGCATAAATCTGAATGCTGATTCAGGGTTTTCTATGTGCTTTGTGTGCAAGTTTAACTACATCTTTTCCATTTTGTTGTACATTGTGCCAACCCTGAGTCTGGCCTGCTTATGATGGGGAGAAGGAAGTGTGTATTTGCAAATTGGTCCCCCCATCATGTCTACTAATTCAAGAGAGAGCATGTATTAACATCAGCACTGTAGCTGTGTCAAATGAATAGATGATACCAAGTGGCATTATGCAAAGAACAAGCATTACAAATTCAAATTAAATTCTATATATTTATGTAGTCATTTATTCAAAAATAATAATAATGCAAATGTAACACTTGTATTATATCTCCACATCTATTAGTCCTCTGATGACTCATTTTTAATATAAATTATACTACAAAATGGGTCTTATATTTAGAACCAGAAGAGTATCATTTATCATACTTCTATATTTTATTTAAACTTTAATATATATTTATCATCAAACATCAATATAGAAAATATGGTGAATCACACTATCCATAATTTTAGTATTATAATATTCGAATTAATTTTACTTTTTCTTCTAACATTTTAATGTCGGAACCAAAAACCATACCCCGAACACAAAATAAGCCAGCATAAAGAAACAGCAACAGTCAACAGAGCTAGTAAAAGGCCATATTAAACGACTGAACTATAAGAGTATTAGGGCACCTTTGTGTTCTAATCATTATTCGAGTCTGTTTGCGGGGGATGCTACTGGGCCTTGAAAACCTTGACCCACCAGAGCCAGGACAGCATAAAAACAATATCTATGAACAGAAAAATCAGGATCCAAATCTTCACATCTGCACAACAAGTAGATTGCAATCACAAAGTTTGAAATAATTGCCTTATCCAACAACATTTTATGGGCCTCCCCTTGGGCAGAGGGAGTCAAAGCAACAAGTTAAACTTTGGATGTGAATCATTCTTAAGGTAATGTGAGTGGTCATTTCTTTCTTCTTAATAACCTGAAACCGAAATTAGCTAACTGTTTATCATTGGTGAAAAATGGTAGTGAAATTTGAACCTTCCTTCTCCGCTGGTTGAATCATCAGATAATTGGCACAATTTGTGTGCAAAATATGTTACCTGTAACATAGGTCAAAAGAGATCAATATGCCCCTTTCGTGGGCATCTTTCTCTCCAACCATATTTAGCATGGAGTCGTGATATCAGAGTCTGATGACTGATGATTCATTTTTCTTCTTTTAGTTCTTTCAGTTTAGATTCTCACTATCACTGGGGCTCCCCTAACACGATCGTATCATATCTGGTCTTTCTTTTCACCTTGTGACTGATCGTAATGCTTGGAATGTGCCAGAGATAATTACTGTTTTCTTTGTGGAAAATGACTTTTGATATTTGTGTCTGAATAGTAATTATGACACTAGTTTTGTTGATGTGGATGCTTTTGACATGAGCTAGAGAAGAAGACTAGAACTGACTCAATTTTCGTTCTGAACTTCTTGGGGGAGGCGCATCTTAGATCTTTTACATTCTTACATATTAAAAAAAAAGAGTGATACAGAAAAATGTGACTATGTAAGGAACTCAAGTTTCATTTGTAATCCCATAATTTTTGTTTTTCCAACCTGTTTCTCTGAATATGTTATATGCATTTGTTTTCTAAATGTAAATGATCCAGACTTGAATGCTAGGTGGGGAGATATGGCTTTTGTCTGGAAGTCAAATACTATGAGTCATACATTGAATTTTTAACTTGCTGGTTTTATTCTTTTCCCTCCACCTGAAAAGTTTTGTTGCTTTTTTCTGTGAAGAGATATCGAAGCAATAGTAGATTCGATAGGGACGTCTAATAGTTGGAGGTCAGCGTAACGATTTATTTTGTCAACTCAACGACAACTTGGTTTTTCTTTTAACATTATGTGATGTTGATGCTAGCATGAGAATCATGTGAAGATTTTCATACTGTAAGTTCAAGGAATCAATTGTTCTTCGAGCACTTTTCTGGTATAATCTTGTTTGACAGGGGAAATATCACAACCGAGACAAATACTTCGTTGTGGACTAATAACAGAAAAAAATTCTCATTACTTGAAAGGAGGATTAGATTAAAGAGGATCAGCCTATCGTACTTTTCAGTAAAAAAGTTATTGTATTATGATTAATACTGGCCGCTCTATAGCTTGATTAACCACCTGCTGTTCAGTGGGCCCTTTCCTGCAAAGTGTAGCACAAGTTGATCCTTTGAATCTGCTCATGACCGCAGCGTGCATATTCTGCATATTCCTTAATGGACTTTATTATTTGTAATATATTTTATGGCTTAATCGGCTGTGAGTGGACTTTATTTCTGAAACCGTGTATACCAGTTATAGTTAGTGCCGGAGGCTCATTTGTGGAAGACTTTGAGATGCTTTGCTTGTGTTACAAGTCATAAGGATTTTAAGTTCAAATAAGGTCATAGGTATCTTGTTTAGCTAAAGTTATCCTTGAATAGACAGGACTTAAAAAAGTTTTAGACATTTGCGATGCAAAATCAAAATATATGTGGTCAATTATGCAGACTCGATCCTCCAAAAGATAAGAAGATGAAATTGATGAATAGTTATGTTACTGTAAGCAAGTTAGAGGCAAGGTCCACTAAAAATTTCGGCCGACCTACTTCTATGTGCGTTTGTAATGAGTTTTACTCTATCTGATTAGTCCAGATCTACTTGGAAATGGTCCTTGCTTATGAATGAATTATTAGCGGGCGCAAATATGACTAGATATTAGAAGAGACGACATTTTAGATTGGAAATATGTATGCAAAGAAGATAAGACCTTTGAACAATGGTCTGATTAGTGAATGTATACTTCTGTAAGAATCTTATGCAGAAAGCTGTGAAGCAGAAGCTCTGTTAGAAAAGAATTGCCTCTGTTTTTGACGCCTATCAAACATTAAAATTTGATACGCAATGACACAATTTATTATGTGAAACTTAAAATTTTATACAGATACTTCAAATTTAATTTGCTTGAATTTTTATGTCCATATGTTATATGTTGTCACCATGGAAATAAAGAAGAGGTCAAAATAGACAAGATTTGGTTGCGCATGGCTCTGTGATTGACGTGCATCCTCTATGATGATGGTGAAGTCTTCAATTTAAGCTGTGCAGATCTTATGCTATCATTACAGATTGCTACTAGCTATCTTCTTTTTTGTTTTGTGTTTTTGTATGTGGATTTAAAAAATTTGCGGAATTCCCTCTTCCCTCTCTCCACTCCAAATAAATCGTTAGTGGAGCTTTCATGATGCAGGATGCAGACTGAAGTAGCCGCCCTTCTTTTTCACGTATCATAACCTTTTCCCTGTGTTTGTTTGTTCCTTCTTATTTAGGTAATAAAGAATCTCAAAGAGTGTGCTATTAGGTCGATTTGGTTGGTCCATTGATGGGGAATCTGTTTCTCTCCTTAACAAGGTAAGAGATAACTTTCTATGTATGTAATATTCGTATATTGATCTAGGAATACAAGTATTTTGGAGAATTTTGATGTACTTGTAATTTAACATATTTGAAATCAATACGTTGAATGCCTAGTTATACTTTATATTATCTTATTCTTAATCATGCTTATCGTTTGAACTGAAAACACAAAAATAATTCATCATATTACCTTCTTTTTTTCCCTCCTAATTTCATACTTTCCAGTGTTTTCCTTTTACTAAAAGCCACAGGATTTGGCAATAAATTCAAATAGAAAGTTAGTGCAGAATCTGCTTTCCTCTGAAGTATTCTTCATCTAGAAGCCCTTTTGATCTCTTTCTTGTTCACATTTCATTCCAAAATCATCTTCACCTTGATCTCCTTATTGATTTTTGCCTAGTTTTGAAAACAAGGAAAAAAAAATCTGATTATGAATAGTAACTATAAAGAATCTAATTTGTTTCCGTTCTGATTGTAGGATTACGAAAATTGCAAGGATTATCTCTGATCTTGATTAAGATGAGATTAATCCTCTGCTCTCAAGTTAATCTCTGGTCAAGATAGTATTTGCCAAGCCAGCTTCTAATTAGCATTAATTACGCCGCCGCCCTGTCTAATCTGGACTTAATCTTTAAGCCACTTAGTCTAAAAAATCGGCTGCTTGACACATTTCTTCATGGAAATTAAGTACAAAACCTACCTCGTACCCATGTGACAAGCATACTTGGTCCAAAGACTGCACCTGGACATATTCTTTTTTGTATTTAGAAACATGAAGAAATATTGCGAAAATAAATAAAGAGAGAGTTGCACAGAGTCCAACTAATTGTTTGGACAAAGTTGAATACAGGTTTTATATTTTATTCCACTAATTTAATTAATTCAATTAAACCACAATTTGATTTGAGGAATTAATATTTTATATTCCCCAAATCGCAAACTACTACTGCTTTTTTCTTGTCCGAGCCAAGCGTGCTTCCGGGATTATAAATATCTTTTTGTCTCCAATCTTTTTCTTTCTGTCTCCTCCTTCGTTTAATTTAAATTGAAACAAGCAAGGTTTGGTCTGCTTTTTTGTCTCATCAAGTAAAGAATTTGGCCCTGTTTTGTCTGTTCTATGCAACATCAGGAATTCTTTACCCTCTAATTTGTTTTTCGGAGCAAGTTTCAAGAACACATTTTTACAAATTAAACTTAATCC